AAACCCTACATACGTGGATTTAGCGAAAGTGTCTAATACTATAAAAAGGCTTGAATCATGATTTTTTTTGCTTGAATATGAAGTTTGTTGTTTGCTGAACGTGATAAAACAATATACGATGGAAGTAAAACATGAGACTAAATGTTCAGTAAACAATTCATCATTGAAACAGAGAAAAAGACAGAAACGTGATGTCTCCTTTGGTGTTAGATGTGTTAATAGGGTTGTGAATATATTTGCCTTTTGCTTTCTAAGTGATGCCAAGTTTATGACCAAGAACCTGAATGATTTATATTGAATATTAGACAGATTATATTTTATTACACTTGAATGATATTAATACATTTATACTCTTAATAAAGCAAAGCTTCAAGCAATAGCACTTAGACTTATATAGCACTTCACAGTGTTTTACAGCCCCCAGAGTCAGCATATTGCCCCCAACAATCTGGGTCCTCAATTTATCCACCTTAGAAGGATGGAAGGCTGAGTCAACCTTGAGCTGGTGAGACTCGAACAGCGGAAGTGCTGGCAGTCAGCAGAATTAGCCTGCAATAGTGCATTTTAACCACTGTGCCACCATGGCTCATACCGTGTTTCCCCGAAAATACGACAGGGTCTTATTTTCTTTTGCCCCATGAAATATTGCCATGGGCTTATTATCAGGGAGGGCTTATTGTTTTGGGGTTGCTGGGCGGCTGCTCCCTTGCGAGCGGACTCCCGAAGAGCAGGGCATAGCCTCAGGAGCGAAGCACGCTCATGAGCAGGCGCCCGGCAAATCCTCTCTCTAGCCGGGCAGAACGCCATTCACTGACCTAGGGGGTATCACTAAGGTGCCAAACCACGTGGCGCTCTGCCCACTCCCCAGCTCCCGCAGCTTGGCACATTAGGGATACCAGCTAGGTCAGTGCATGGAGCTCTGCCAGGCTGGAGAGGGGGGTTGCGCGAGCGCCTGTTCCGCCCCCAGTCTCACCAAGCCCTTGTGCAGCTCTCCCAGGGTACCGCCGCCACCCGCTGCCGTCATCTCCGAGCATAACTTCCAAACTCCAAAACTCCACTGCTGAGTCTTTCAGCATTGGCCGCTCTAGGAGTGCTCTCTAAGGTGGGCCGGCTGCCGGACAGAGAGTCTTCCGGACAGAGAGTCTTCCAGCAGCCGGCCCACCATAGAGAGCACTCCTAGAGCAGCCGATGCTGGAAGACTTGGCAGCGGAGCTTTGGAGTTTGAAAGTTATGCTCGGAGCGTGGTGGTGGGCAACGGTGCCCTGGGAGAACTGCCCAAGGGCTTGATGAGGCTGAGGGCGGAACAAGTGCTCGCGCTAACCCCCCTCCAGCCAGGCAGAGCTCCATGCACTGACCTAGGGCATATCCTGAATGTGCCAAGCCACGGGAGCTGGGGAATGGGCAGAGCGCCACATGGCTTGGCGCCTTAGTGATACCCCCTAGGTCAGTGAATGAGCTCTGCCCGGCTGGAGAGGGGATTTGCCGGGCGGCTGCTCGTGAGCGTGATCGTCTCAAGGCTGCTTCGCCCCTGAGGCTGTGCCTGACTCTTTGGGAGTCCACTTGCAAGGGAGCAGCCACCTGACAACTCCCCCCTCTGGCCAGGCAAAACGCCGCTCCCCAACCTAGCAGTATCCCGAAGGCGGCAAGCAACGTGTCTTTCCACCCCTAGTCTTTCCACTAGGTCGGTGAGCGGTGCTTTGACTGGCCGGAGGGGAGATTGTCCAGGAGGTTTATTTTTGGGGTGGGCTTATATTTTTGCCCATGCGAAAAATGTGGCAAGGCATTAGTTTCGGGACAGGTTGTATTTTCGGGGAAAAACTGTACAAGTTCTCTAACAAGAACTATATACCATATATACTACATTGAAGATAATGTGATTTAATTTTAAATTTGCTTTCAGCTTTTTAAAACATACACATAATACCTTAGTTTATCTTGTCACATTTTTTCTAATTCTACATTATTTGTTCTAATTTCATATTTAAGTTTTACTAAGGATGGATTTAATTTCCCTGATAAATGTTAATAGATTAGATACAGTAAAAGATTACTTAAAATTTCAAAATATTTATCACATGAAAAAAATAACAAAATCTTACCTGAAACTGTTTCTCATCAGTCTTTCGGACAGCTGTAGAATCAAACAAGACTTGCCTGCCCCGTCTTTCACAGTCTTGATACACTATCAAGCGGATTTCATTTAGATCAAACCCAGAACAGGACCAGCTATGAGTTTTAAGTACAAGAAAGAATGAAGAGAATTATGCAAGAATTTTTTTCCTCTAGCAAATCCAACAGTCTGTAGTGGAAACAGTTAATCTAAGGAATGGGAATTCAGAGCTTTAGTTAACAGTAGAGAAGAAGATGAAACACAACAATTCCATCAAATATTCTTGATATATATATATATCCTTTATCAGCTGAGCCAGGGAAATAGGTATGTATTTAGTATGTACTAAATAAAGATAAAGGAGGAGAACCTTGTGGCTTAGTGGTTAACACATCTGCCTAAGATGTAATACAGCACAGGTTCTAATCCCAGTAAGG